GCTGGAGTCAAACTATTATATAAGCTTTTAAAGCTGTAATGAGGCAGGATTCTAAGCAGAAGGTGTTCTTTATCTTAAAACGCCAGGAGCTAGCAAAGTACCTTGAGCATTATAAATACAAATCCTAACAATGACCCTGGCCTTTTTCCTATTATAAAATCCCTTTGTGGAAAAATATCTGTTGCTTGAATACTATGGGAAATTGCTGCTTATTCCATTTCTGCTGCCGCATTCCTCCAAAAAATACAGTGTTTTGCATACCTGTCTTCTTCCTACTGTTTGCTGTTTTACCATCTTTTTTTAGTCCCTTTGACAGAACTTGTTAAGAATGATGCCTGCAGTATATTTGCTCAGTGGTATCAGCTAGCCAGAGAATGAGTGGTTCCTATTTGCCAGCTGCTTCCTGGAGATGGTAGAGCAGCTGAGGATGGAAACAATTAATCCTCCCACTTCATGCAGATCAGAAGGCACTTCTCTGCTGATCTTTCAAGTATGGTGATTGTACATCAGCCATGAGGGCAGTGGAACCTCTGGGAGGCAATAAATGGGTATCCTACTTCAATGTGGTAGTTGCCCTGAGCTGCTTCATTGTATTAGGACTAGCCCTAGAAAAATAAAACAATCAATGGCTCAGTAGAGAACAATACTAACTTACCTCTAAATACCATGGCTTACTATCTAGCAAAACAGTGGATCGCTTACAGAAAGAAAAACAGTATTTTTTTAAAAATGTGGGTTGGAGAGCGACTTTTGCTGGGTTTATTATAACCCTGAAGACTAGGGTGGGAAGAGTCACTTCATGGCAGTTAATCAAATGACTTCAATTTATGCATATTCATAGCAGCTGAGTTATCTGAAATGTATTATCCTGAAAAAAAAAACCACAATTGTCTTTACATGGTGGCTGGTTGTCTTGATAGTCAGTAAATTTCTACTGACAACCCAGTTCCCAAATATCCTATGGACACCTCCCTTGCCCTTGCCATGATCCTGTAATATATTAGATGAAGAGGAGGATGAAGATGATTTAAACTTTTTATGCAACTGGCTCCCAGTGGCTTACAGAAGTATAAGAGAATGCAATTAAAATTGTGCAATTAATTCTTAAAAATAGAAAGCTTGAAAGGAAAGTACAAGCTTCATCTTTAATGGATGAGTGGCTGTAACCCTGGGAATAATCTTGGAAGTGTGCCCATCTGCTCAGAAAAGAAAAAAAAAACTATGGAGAAAATCCCAAGGAGCTAAAATTACTTTGCCTTTGTAGGAAATGATTGAAGAGTCATAGTAAGTAGAACCTGGTTGACCTTGGTGGATCTCAAAAAAAAACACACCACCACCAGAACAGGGTCAGACCTGGTTGGTATTAAAGGGATCATCAAGAAATCTGAGACCTGTAGATTAGATACTGGGTAGCTGGGGGAAAAAATCTTACAAGAGGGCAAGAACATATCACTTCCACAGTGTTGTCAAGAATAAAATGTTTAACATGTTCATGCAGTCACTAGCAAATAGCTGAAATCAAAGGAGATTTAATCCTCTACTTTGGTTCAGAAAAGCATTGAAAAATTGGCTTTTTAAACAAGGCATGGACCAGTGGATTGGGATTCTGATATATAATGAGAAAGGGTTGATTATTTTTTGGTAAAATATTTCCCAAGTGTTGCTTGCTTGTGTGTGTATTGAGAGGGATTGCATTTGTTTTTGTTGAGTTTTTAAATGGAAGCTGCCATGAATCTCTGATTTGATAGCCTTATAAATACATTAATATCATGAATGAGACCTCAACCCCTAGACACATCAATAATGGCCGCTACTTTGTGAATTGTCATACACCCAGAGTTGGATTCAAATATTTTAACAACTGGTTCTCTGCCTAATGATTTCATCCAACAATCAGTTCACCTAACTGTTCAGAAAGTTAACAACTGGTTCTCTCGAAGTGGTACGAACTGGCTGAATCCCACTACTGCATACACCTTCTCTGTTCTTCCTTCTCACAGCATGCTTAACATGATCTTCATATTGCCAATATGTTTTCCACTCCATCCAAAAGTTTCATACTTCTAAAGCAATCCTTCATTACTGGATCTTCCTTGCCAGTTGTCTACGTCTTATTCATTGCATTCTGTGAATTATTGTTTATTGTGCCAGTATGCATTTTCTTTTCCATCCTACAAACCCATATAGGGATTATTGGAAAAAAGGACACACATTTTGTAGACAAATAAATGACTGTTATCTAACACATAAGTCCATCTTAATCCAATGGCTTATTCTGATCCATCTAATTTGATTTATCTCCTCTGTTTTGTGGATTGGGCTACAAAGAACTTTCTGGTCAGTAATGATTATAAAGAGCTATATTTGGCTAGCCAAAATCTGAATGGCCATGAGATGGCAGCAGGGAGTTAGATTGTTATATCTTTGCTGTAGTCTCATGGCTATCCAGATTTCTAGGCCAGATATTGTAACCTTACATTCTGGCACAGACAGTCTTAATACAAACAGTTATTCGGCCTATCCGTCACTGTCATTCTTCATGGCCTCTCTTTTTCTCACTTGCCCACCAGACAGTAATGTCCTTAGATCAAATATTCTCTATAAATTGAGGGAACATTTAACTGATTTATGAGGCTTTTAGCTATTACCTACTTACCTATCCAATAAAAGTGGTTACATTATATGACACACACATGGTACTCCCTTAGCTCTGAGCTTCACTCATAAAGTGACACATGCATCAAACTGTAATGAGATTTCCTGAAGCAAATCTATCATCATAGGACAAAAACAACAAGCCTTCTATGGCAAATATTTTCCTGTTCTTTCATTAATTGTGGAAACTTTGCCCATATTATTCATGTTTCTCTGCATTAAAGGAAAACTAATTTTCTAGGGAAAGAGAATGATTGATAAAAAGAAGACAAATGCAGTTTTCACTTAAGAGCAAAGTATGCTAACCAGGCCAAGCCTTTCCCTGTTGTAACAATTTGTTTTTGAGATATAGTTAAGTATACACTGGTGAAAACGCTAAATAAAAACAGACAATAAATTTCAACTCATTCTTTGTGAGCTCAAAAGAAAAAAAAACAATTGGCTTTAGACATTGCTACCTATCCTTGAAAATTTTTCATTTTTTTAAAATGTTATACTCTAGAAAGACAAATCCAAAAGGATAATTGAAAAACATCCTTAACCTTATCAACTTTTCTATCTCCTAATTCAGTGATGGGATTCAAAATTTTTTGCTACCGGTTCTGTGGGTGTGATGTGGCTTGGTGGGCATGGCTTGGTGGGCGTGGAAGGGAAAGGATACTACAAAATGTCCATTCCCTCCCCACCTCACTAACCTGCTTTCCAGCTCAGCTGAAGATCAGCTGGGAGGCTGGGAGGCAGCAGGGGCAGGGCCACCTATTTACTGGTTCTCCGAATTACTCAAAATTTCCGCTACCAGTTCTCCAGAACCTGTCAGAACTGGCTGAATACCACCTCTGTTCTAATTGGAGTGGGGCGGGGAGAAATAGGCTGTGGTTTTGATATAGAAAAAGATCCTGGAAACCATTTTCACCTACATGAAGTATATTATTAAAAGGGGACGAATGAAGATTATGATTTTATTTTATTTTCTTACCCACAGTACCTTTAAGAAGCAACCTTAATCTTTTTCTTCTTTAAGGACTATGTTATAAAGCAGCAATATTATTATTAAGGTCTGTCACACAAACCAGATGTTCAGGCGCAGTGGTTAAATGCAGCACTGCAGGCTACTGCTAGATCAGCATGTCAGCGGTTCAAATCTCACCGGCTCAGGGTTGACTCAGCCTTCCATC